CTAAAAGGAATCGAACCCGACGTCGCCCCCTCTGAGATACTAGACGCCCTTAAAGGCAAGGGATTCTCTGCTAAGAATGTTAGCAATATTATTAACAAAAATAAAAAGCCGCAACCACTCTTTAAGGTCGAGCTCGAGCCAGACAGCAAAACCCTAAGGAAAAATGAAGTGCACCCGATCTACAAGCTGCAGTTCTTACTGCACCGGAGGATCACAGTGGAAGAACCACACAAACGGAACGGCCCAGTGCAATGTACAAATTGCCAGGAGTTTGGGCACACCAGGACATACTGCACACTTCGGTCAGTTTGTGTAGTCTGCGGAGACTTCCACAATTCCGCACACTGCCCTGCTAACAAAGAAGATCCCCATACAAAAAAATGTGGGAACTGCGGAGGAAACCATACGGCAAACTACAGAGGCTGTCTGGTCTACAAGGAGCTGAAGAGTCGCATGCGACAAGCGACAGCTACGCGTCAACAAAATACACAAAACGTGTATTTTAAATCAAAAACTACGCCAGACGTATTTTTCGCCAAGGCAGCCAGATCTTCGTTCGGTCCGCTCAGTACCACAAACGGCATCTCCTACGCTGATGCTCTACGAACGGGCATGGAAAAACCACTCCAGCCACACTCAGAAAACGCTAAACAGGTACCACCCCAGCCGCAAAGTAATTTGGAAACTATGATGTTTACCATGCAACAAAGTATGATGGAGTTCATGTCATTTATGAAAGCGACCATGCAAACGTTGGTTCAGAACCAGAATATGGTGATGCAGCTGCTTGTATCACAGCAGTCCAAATAATAAATGACCAATCTAAGAATATCCACGTGGAATGCCAACGGCATTTCACGGCATAAACTGGAAATAGCTCAATTCCTAAATGCAAATCACATCGACGCCATGTTGCTGGTTGAAACTCACCTCACAAGCAAATATAACTTCCATATACGGGGGTATACCTTCTACCGCACAGATCATCCCGATGGTAAAGCCCACGGCGGCACCGGCATCTTAATTAGAGAACGCATCAAACACCATTTTCACCAAAGGTTTGCAACAAATTACTTGCAAGCCACGTCTATAAAAGTGCAGTCAGGAAACGACAACCTTTGCATCGCCGCTGTCTACTGCCCACCTCGCTTTACAATCTCTGAAGGTCAATTCATGGATTTCTACAACTCACTTGGGGACCGTTTCATAGCTGCTGGAGATTACAACGCTAAGCATACGCACTGGGGATCACGCCTCGTTACTCCCAAGGGAAGGCAACTTTATAATGCACTTATAAATGTGAGAAATAAGTTGGACTACGTTTCTCCTGGTAGCCCCACATATTGGCCAGCAGATCCTAGAAAGATCCCAGATCTAATTGATTTCGCGGTTACAAAAAACATCCCACGCAACCTAATAAGCGCCACGGCCCTACCCGATCTCTCATCAGACCACTCTCCATTGTTGATAACCCTTCTTCAAAGCCCAGATATTACGGACTACACCTACAGGCTGACGTCGCACAGAACTGACTGGATGAAATATAGGAAGTACGTCAGTTCCCACATTGAGCTTAACACCCAGCTCAATATCGAAGAGGACATCGACTGCTCTACCGCCGCCCTGGAAGAGGTACTCGTCACAGCAGCCAGGATCTCAACACCACAACGACATGATGTGAAAATAAAGAAGTTCAAAACCAACCTGCAAATCGAACAGCTCGTTCTGGAAAAGAGGCGTCTGCGAAGGGCGTGGCAAACCAGCAGATCGCCATGCTCAAAGCAACGTCTAAATGAAGCCACCCGCAAACTAAACCGGGTTCTGAAGCAAGATGCCGAAAACGCACAACTGAGATATATCGAGAAACTCTCTCCAACAAGTGCAAAGCATCCTTTGTGGAGGGCTCACCCAAATCTAAGCTCTCCGGCTGAAACCGTCTCCCCGATAAGAAATTCTTCAGGTGGCTGGGCGCGCAGCGACACAGACAGAGCCGAAACATTTGCCTCACATCTCAGGGGCGTCTTCCAACCGAATCCCGCCGCAAGTCCTTTCGTTCTACCGGAAATCCAAACTGAAAGCGAATCCACAATACCATCGTTTCGACCGAATGAGATCACCAAAGTCATCCGGAGGCTAAAACCGAAAAAGGCTCCCGGCGATGACCAAATAACTCCAAAAATGATAATTGAACTTCCAAACTGTGCTATTGAGGTCATCTGTAAACTCTTCAATGGGATCATAAGTCTTGGCTACTATCCAAAAAAATGGAAAAAGTCAACAATTATAATGATACCAAAGGCCGGAAAAGATCACACGATTCCGTCCTCTTACAGACCAATAAGTCTTTTATCATGCCTGTCGAAACTGTTCGAAAAATGCCTTCTAACACGCATTTTACCATATATGGGAGATCATAACATTATCCCAGCCCACCAATTTGGCTTCAGAGAAAAACATGGAACTATCGAGCAAGTAAACAGAATAACATCAGAGATTCGCACAGCCTTCGAACATAGAGAATACTGCAGCGCGATATTCCTCGACGTATCCCAAGCATTCGACCGCGTCTGGCTCACCGGTCTTATGCATAAAATTAAAACACACTTTCCCGGGTACACTCACAAATTACTCGAGTCGTATCTCTACAACAGAGTCTTCGCAGTGAGGTGCAACACAACAACATCCGAAAACTATAAAATCGAAGCTGGAGTCCCACAAGGAAGCGCACTTGGACCAACTCTATTCGTCCTCTACACAGCGGATATTCCCACGAGCGAGGGACTACTAACATCCACCTTCGCTGACGATACTGCGATCCTCAGCCGCTCCAGATGCCCAGTCAGTGCAACATCCCAATTAGCCAACCACCTCACGGTAGTAGAGAAGTGGCTATCCGACTGGCGTATCAAAATAAACGAACAGAAGTGTAAGCACGTAACGTTTACTCTCAACAGACAAACATGCCCTCCGATCCACTTGAATAGCACAATGATCCCCCAAGTCAACGAAGTAACGTATCTCGGCGTCCACCTCGACAGACGTCTAACATGGCGTAGACACATCGAATGCAAGAAACTACATTTAAAACTAAAAGCCAGCAGCCTCCACTGGATTATAAACGCCCGATCGCCCATGTGTCTGGACTACAAGGTACTGCTCTACAACTCCACTCTTAAACCAATCTGGACGTATGGCTCCCAGCTCTGGGGAAACGCGAGCAAAACTAACATAGACATCATACAGCGCGCTCAAGCAAAGATCCTGAGAACTATCACTGGGGCACCATGGTATATTCGAAACGAAAACATCCACAGGGACCTTGGCATTCTCGCAGTAAAAGATGAAATAGAAAAGCAAAAAGCCTCATACAAGGAAAAACTCTCAGCACACCCAAATCCTCTTGCAAGGGATCTGACTCGGGTTTCCAGAAGAACCCGCCTGCAACGTAACGACCTTCCAACCCAGCCATAATTTGTCAGGGCCATTTTTTACTGTTCCAGTCTATATGACTGATAGTTAGGTTATAGTATAAGATTTGATACACTTATTGTTAGTCTCGTAAGGAGAAGATTCAATAAATAGAGCAAAGCTAAAAAAAAAAAAAAAAAATCTTTACCTGCATATAAGGGCCTCCAAAAATTTTTTATACGGGGCCCCGACAAGGCACGCTACGCCACTGTCGAAAACCAAAGAATTAATGAATCCTCTACAAAAATTGTAGAGGCCCTATGCTCCCGGGTGGAGTGAAGAAGGTAAATTTATAAACAATCGGCGAAAATATAGCAACTTAATAGAAAAATCGACATAGCTTTGATGTTGTTTAGCCGTTTTGTATTTTGCTCAATATATTTGTTGACTCCAAAGGTTTCGGATTGTCGAAACTAGCTTCCTTTCTTGTTTTTATTAAATTTCCACATTTTCACCAGTGCTCCTTTAACAGCTATGTATGTGATATGTATATTCATCCAATTTATTTCGAAATTCAAGAGTCGGTTAAACAACGAAGATTTTTTTTTGTACTATTATTTTAATTTAATTTTCGATCTTTCCTTCCTAGGGGAGCTATTTGGTATATTGGTCTAAGTATTATACATTTTTGTTGCTTAATTTAATCATAGTTAAAAAACTCGATATTCCAAAAATCAGGCTTTTCCAGGGGCGGTCCGAACCCCCCCGAACCTCAGACTTTTTCAAAACCCCTTTCAGCATACGGTCTTTCAACCATATAAACTAAAAATATTTTTGATATTTTTCACAAAGCAGTTGTTAAGACAAAAATATTTTCCTTTTGCAATAAAATTTAAAAAAATTCGATTTCAGCTCAACTCTTCGAAACCCGTAAATTTTTTTATGAAATGCAAAGTGAATAATGAAACGAATTGGATCAGGGCGCCTAAAATCAGTGCCATGGTTGGTATTTTGGTAATTTGTTTGAAAAATTTTTTTAACAAAAACACCTCCTAAGAAGTTCACAAGAAACACTCTCACAGTTGGAACTTCCGTCTAAAAAGGTATTTTGTTTAATTTCTTCGATTGCTCCTATGAAAGCTGTATGATATACATAATCTTAATTTTTTAAGTAATTTTTTTCCTTGTCCAAGAGGCCTTAGAGTAATAAAAACTCCAAAATATATACTTGTCTTTTCGGTTTTTTGGTAGAGGTTTGAACCCCTAAAACCCCTCCCGTAAATCCGCCACTGATTACTACTATGTTGATGTAAAAATATAAAATGCAAATGATTTTCTCGTCATGAATTTTTAACTCGTCGCTCAGTTTTAAATATGTTTCCCTGTTTCGAGATGTCGAGCTTTAAATATGTTTAGTACTTATACTAAACTTTTGGTAAAGTTTCAGGGGAATATAGTATAAGTATAAGTACTAAACTGAACGACGAGTTAAAAATTCATGACGAGAAAAACCTTTTGCATTTTATATTATATCTTTACATCGTTACATATTCACACATTCATATTTTTGCACGCGCTGTGTTTATACATACCGTATCAGAAATATTAAAACCGTTGTTAATCGGCTGTTAGTTTTTTTTATCATACGGTAATTTTAATAAAGTAAATATATTGTATTTTTTAAAAGAAGCTAAATTCTTAATTTACACAATTGTCGTTTTCATAAAAAGTTATTTATCGGAGTTTAAGTGTAGCAGTCGAACTTTTTTATGATGCTTTACAAACAATAAAAATCTCAACGGTTGCCAACTTACGCAAGCCGACGTATTTCCACCCTTTCTGAATTGTCTCTAATGGTAAAAATATCTACTAGTCTGATTTGCCTTTTTAATGGTTTAAACGTATTAACGTTAAGCTTGTCGAATGAAGGGTTAAACGTATGTATGTGTTAAAGCGCAGCCAACATTCAGCTGGGCTAAATATATAAATGCGATCTGAAAGAGTATAAATGTGTTATTATATATATATAGGTAAATGTAATTGGGATGGTCGCAATACAATATTTAGCTCGGGGAATATATATATGTAGGTATAGTAAAATTGTTTATTATTTAAATGGGGGAGATTTTAGTTACAGGGGCTCCAAGATTTGAGGATATATTTTTAATTGGCCCAAAATAAACACTTTTTAAAATTTTTTTAAATTTTACGGTATCTCGCACCGTTTACGAGATGTTGAGCCTTAAATGTTGGGCAGATAACGGGCGAAATAAATATGCCAATTACTTATTGCACATCTTTTTTCGCGAAAGACCGCCGAAGACGGACACTTAAGTTTATTTTTTCAGTTATTAGTTTAGTTTTTTTTTTAGAAAAATTACTTCGAATAAAGTATTTTAGCTCGGGCGCGCCCACTTTATGCAAAAAATTTCCAGCAATTTTTCTAAAAAAAATATTTTCCAGGAATTAAAAAAAAATGTTTTTCAGTAATTTTTCTAAAAAGAATTTCCGGTAATTTTTTCTCCCGTTGCCGCACTATAATCCGACTTTTAAGCCTTGATATCTCGTAAACGGTGCGAGATATCGAAAATTTTCCAAGAAAGGAAGCTAGCTTCGGCAAGCCGAAGCTTATATACCCTTGCAGTCATCAAATATTTCGAACAGAATACACAAAGGCTAAACAACATCGAAGCAACGCAACTTTTCTATTAATTTTTCATATTTTTGACTATTGTTCATATGGCAGCTATATAATATAGTCTTCCGATTTTGATGAAATTTTATTTGGTTTTCAAGAGTCGTTAGAAAACTCTATATTCCAAAAATCATGACTTCCTGATGAGAAATAACGATGTTATCATTTTATTTCCGTTAATTATATATAGATTTTTCGATCTTTCCTATGGTAGCTATATGATATAGTTGTCCGATTTTTATGAAATTTTTTTATGAACCAAGGCTAGTTAAAAAACTTGATACTCAAAAAATCTAAGTCGTGTGATGAAAAACAATGACGTTATCAATTAATTTCCATTAATTCTATATATATTTTTTGATCTCTCCTATGGCAGCTATGTGATAGAGTTATCCGATTTCGATCAAATTTAACCCGAAATTCAATAGTAACTAGAAAACGCCATGTGGAAGAAATCAAGTCGATCTGATCAAAAACAACGGCGTTAGAATTTTGTATTTCAATCTCTTGTATGGGAGCTATCCTATATAGTCGCCCGATCCGGCCCGTTCCGACTTATATACTGCGTGCAATAACTACACACCTTTTGGGAAAGTTTCAGCAAGATAGCTTTAAAACTGAGAGACTAGTTTGGGCAGAAACGGACAGGAGGACAGACGGACAGACGGACAGACGTACAGACGTATTTCGATTCAGATGGTGATGCTGATCAAGAATATATATACCTTATGGGGTCTAAGGTGTCGACTTCACTGCTTTGCAAACATCTGGTCAAAATTATAATACTCTGCAAGGGTATAAAAATATGTCCTCAAAAATAATTATAGGACAAGAAAATTAATAAGAACAATAACTACAATTATTATGGTTACGTAAAGTATGGTATTGTCATTGTGTTCCACCATTTTTATCTTAGTTACATTAACCGATAAATACAATGATCTTAAGTCAAATTCTGGACTTAACGAATTTTCGCTTAATTTAACATTTCCAATTTTAACTCTACATTGTTTTATTCTAATAATTTTGCTTCCATTAATTTTTATTTCGCCATTTAATTCAGTTAGATTCCATGTAAGTATAATATTTGGTTCAACGTATTGAATCATTTCTTTTGAGGGTGTTGGTATAAAATTACAAATTGGGTTCTTTTTATTAACTTTTCTATTATCTTGATTATAAATTTTATTCTCATCTTCAAAATGATTTTGTGTTTAATAGGGATATGTGAAATAAGTAGTGGTTCGATATTTTGGTGGTTCATCGAATGGCTGTTAATGCTTCCTAGTTTGTCATAATTGAGCATTTTTGGGTTAAAAACTCCCAGTCGTGAAAGTTGCATGCCCATTTCTATGTTTTCAATGTTATTTTATTTTATTATTATTATTATTAGTTGGCACTACAACCCGATTCGGGTTTTGGCCGACCGCAGCGTCTCCCTCCAGGCGCCTCTGCTCCTCGCGCGCCTCCTCCAATCGGAAATTCCCGGTGCAGTCAGGTTCTCCTCCACTTGGTCCTTCCATCGGAGCTTTGGTCGTCCCCTTCGTCGTCGCCCGTAGTGGACCCTCGCTTCAAACACTTTCTGGGCTGGAGATTCTTTATCCATACGCACAACGTGGCCGAGCCATCGCAGACGTTGTATCGTGATGCGCAGGACCACGTCCATGTCGTCGTACAACTCGTACAGCTCGTGGTTCATCCGAATGCGAAAGTCGTCCTCGATCCGCACGGGTCACTCTAAGCGCTGCTGCATCCGTCTATGACATCACTTATGCTTCTGCGCCAAATAAGAGCACGGGTAGGATAAATGTCTTGTTGAGTGTTAATTTTGTTCGGCGAGAGAGGACTCTATTGCACATTTGCTTACTGAGACCAAAGTAGAACCTATTGGTAAGTGTAATTCTTCGCTTAATTTTCGGTGTTAATGGTAGTGCCAAGGTACATGAACTCCTTGACCACTTCGAAGGTATAGCTATCCGCTACCACTAGGCGCCGCGCCTACCTGCTTGTCGACAGCATATACTTTGTCTTGCCTTCGTTGCACACCGGCTTTCCGCAGAACCCCTTCCATCACGAAATTGAAGAGTTCGCACGACAGGGGGTCACCTTGTCTGAAACCTTGAACGGTATTAAAAGGATCGGAGAGGTTCGTTCCTACCTTGACAGAGCTGATGGTGCTGCTCAATGTCATTCTGCAAAGATGTATAAGCTTTGCAGGAATACCAAACTCAGACATGGTGGCATATGCGCTTCCCTCGTCGGGCTATCGAACGCAGTTTTGTAATCGACAACGAGATGATGTGTGTAAATTTTATTTTCGTGGGTTTTTACCAGGATTTGGCATAATGTGAAGATTTGCTCTATGGTGGACTTACCAGGTCTAATCAGTGTGCTGGTATACGGCTTCAGTCGTTCACATATAACGCTCGATAGTACCTTGTATGAGATGGCAATCAGGCTGATTCCCCGGTAGTTGGCGCATATCGTCGGGTCGCCTTTTTTCAGTAGAGGACAAAGGACACTGAGTTTCCAATCGTTAAGCATGCTTTCTTTTAACCATATTTTGCACAAGAGCTGATGCATGCACCTTATCAGCTCTTCGCCGCTGGCCTTAAACAACTCTGCATGCAATCCATCAGCACCGGCTGCCTTGTTGTTTTTGAGCCGAATTGTAAGGAGTTGTAAAACTCCTCACAATTTCGAGTGCAGGGGAGCTGCATAGCAACAGCGGGAGGCGCTGTATGCAGAGGAAAAAGGGATTTAATGCTGCGGTGAGTCTGCAGACTTTGGACCCAACAATAGCGAGTCTGCGGACTTCGGACCCGCGCAAAGAGGAGAGACCGTGAATTAACGGTACCGCGGCGGACTTTGTACCCGTTATAACGGTGAAGTTCTGGACTTTGTACCCGTTATTACGGTGAAGTTGGCGGACTTTGGACCAGGACAAAGAGGAGAGACCGTGAACTAGCGGGACTTGTCCTGCACTTTGGACCCGATCGGCAAGGCAGAGGACGCACGACAGGCGTGCCGCCACAGAAGTCGACGTGGGAGCCACTACCGGCGGCATCGAGGGAGATCGAGTCGTCAGCGAGCAGAGCCTGAAATCGAATATCCAATTATAAAGCCAAGGGATAATAAACCCGTCATATATTATATATTCTAAAATCTAACCTAACTTCTGCGTTCTTCTTTGGTTTCGGGGTCACGCAACAATAAATTTGATGGGACGAACACATAAACTCAAATGAGCTAGTCGCACGTTTACGTAGCGAGCGAAGATAAAAAAAGCAGTTCGTTACAGAATAACAGAAACTTGGACCTCGTCATGGCTAGGTAGTGGTATATCCACATTGTCGTCGATTGGTAGTATCGGGCTTCTTCCCCCAATGGCGAGATTGGTGCCGTCATCGCCTGCTAGCAGCTTGGAGAAATGCTCCCTGCATAAACTCAGCGTGCACTGCGTATCCGTAACCAGATTTCCACTTTAATCCCGACAGTTAGATGCTCCGGTCTTGAAACCTTGTGCCACACTGTTTACTTGTTGGTAGAATTTTCGAACATCATACCTGTCTTGCTCCCGTTTTTCCGTCTAAAAAGTCGCCCCTTCCTTTTCTCCCTGTAAAGTTCTCACGTAGATTGCGTTGCCCCAGACTGCAGCGTTTTTCTGTGGGCGGTGTTTTTTCCGCAGCTGCGACGCGACACTCCTCGTCATACCATTGGTTCCGTGTGGGTGGGCGCTTGAACCCAATGGCTGTTTCAGCAGCAGCTCGCATGGAGTGCGATATGTCCGTCCGGAGTCCGCCGGCGTCAAAAGGGAGAGGGATAGGTTAGTATGGCAGTTCCGAGAGGTGAGTGGAGTAGGCTATTGTTGTCCATTGTGATCTCAGCCTGCGACGTCATCGTACCTCTGACGCAGATTGTAGCCAGCCGTGCACTCACTGCACAGTGGTTGCGCCCATAGGCCAAAAATAAAAAAAGTCATAACAACAAAAATGTACGAAAAGTAAACAAATCGTTTCTAAATTGTCCAAACTTCTTGATGGCAAACTTTATTTTTCTGTAAAACTAACGGTTCTTTTTAAAAATAGAATTAAAGTTGTAAGAAGGTGTTCATTTGCACAGCGCAGCTTGCGCGCATCGCGAACATTTCATAGCAAAACCGAACTTTGAAGAGGTCAGTTCATTT